AAGATATGCTGAGCGAGTTCGGCCCTTTTGATTTTCTGACTCCAACTCCTTGCACATTTCATTGTAATATTTTGCTTTGTCATCCCGTGCTGCCTTTTTGCAGCTTCTTGCCACTAGGCCACCAGAGCTCCCTTATGTCTTTTTAGGAGAGGCTATTACTTGTAGAGGGATATCATGCTCAGAAAGGTAGAGGGTCAGCAAAGGAGAAGACCCTAGTAAGATGGATTGATAGTGTCTTCAGGAATGGGCTCAAATGTACTGGGATGATAAAGATGGTACAGGACAGAAAAGAGAGTTCAGATCTGTTCTTCATAGGGTCACTTCACTATGAGTCATACTCTACTCAACGGCACTGAACAGCAACTACATACATACATATGTCTTATGATGTGTCTTATTATTTGGCTTATTATGGGGGTGGTGGTGTTGTGTACCATAGAGTAGGAAATGACCCATAGCTGACCTTCCAGCGGGCATTCAGAGAAAGGCTGTAAACTGCATAGGATCTTTTCCATCTTTCTCCTTCAAAGCAGTTGGAGGATTCGAACCACATACCTTTAGGTTGGTAGCACAATTCCATATCACTGAGCCACCAGAGCTACCTTCTGTGTGTCTAAGTGTGTGTATACCTGGTGGCTTAGTCTACTAACTCAAAGGTGGTGCTTCAAATCTACCTGCAGCTCTGTAGGAGAAAGATGAGTCATTTTCTCCTATGTGATTTATTGCCTCTGAAAACCCAGTGGAGGGTCAGCTATGAATTGGGTCCAACTTGACAGCATTAGGCAGTGACAAGCACGCATTATGAGAGAGATTGATCTATGAAAAAGAAATAACTCATGCACGTGCTTATAGAGCTGCAAGTCCCAGGTCTGTGTCCCATTGCTGCTGGGGCTGAAAAACCCAAGGACGGCAGGCAAGCCAGGCCGCTGGTCCAAAGAACCAAACAATGAGGATGCAATTTGATGTTGAGGCAAAAAGCATGTAGCTCTGACAGACTTCCTCATACACTCCAGGCAGTCCACACCCCAAATGAAATTGTTCTTCAACCTACTAACCATTTTTAACAAATCCCATCAAGGGAATGATTACACTACATCAAACTTCATCAAAAGAGTGAAAACTGCCAAACCAGGGGGGCCAAGCAAAATCTTAACCATCACAGTCACAAAAGGACAAATATTACATGATGCCACTGTTGTAGAATGGGACTGTCCTTGGGGTTGGGGAGAGACTGAGTAAGATGGGTTCA